TCTACTACTACTGAACCAGATACTTCGGAACACATATAAGCTTTAGCTACATATAGTCCCACGCTCCAGCACAACAGAACCCATCCATCCATCCATCCATCCCAAAGACTATTCCCCAAGTCTCGGACCCTCATTTCCCCGCAACTCACACACTAACCTCTATAGATATAACCAAACCTCCTATTCTATGTATACCTATTCTTATGCGAATACTATAAAACCATAGCTTTGTAACTTAATCTCTCCTTTCTCCTCTCTCCTTACAATCTCGAATAAGGATAAGAACAAAAACACATGGTTCTCAAAGCACAAGAATCAGGATGAGAGGAACTCCCTCCGCAAGTTCTTCTACAGTAAGCCAGAGAGCTTTTGGGGAGTTCATCATGATTTACTGTGATATATATCGGAATATTCGCAAAGTCTTTATTCGGGGCGAAAGATAGAGAAAAGATAAAAGAAAGAGGGGAGAAAGCTTATACGATGATTATCAGATTCTCTAATAATTATATCACTAGAGATTTTTACACTATATATATCTTTTTCTATCTTCTCAAATTCATTACGATTGTTATTCTCATTATTCTACCACTTAATGAACCAAATAGATGAGAATATTCAGGTTGCATATCCAGGTATTCTCTCATGAATTGACACATTCGTCAAGAAAATGATTCAAGAGATTCCTCGTGATGATACGAGGAAATTGCAACTAGAATTTATTCCTCGAACCCTATGTTCTGACTAGCTATCGATCTTCTCCCTTTTATATTTATGCTCGTCCGAAGACTCACATACGTGCATACATGAATCCTAATACGTGTCGTCATCTCTCCACCCAGAAAAATGCATTTCGATTTGCATCTTCGAAGCTCAAAGTTCGAAGTCTGACTTCTACGATGCGGCAGTGAAAAGCAAGTGCAATATCCAAAATCCCGTCCTATTTTCGAGATGAAACTACAACAAATATTCACCACTAAACATCATCATTCTCAAACGGTGATAGATGTAGATGCTTCAGAATTCACATATGTACCTAGACATGAAAAGGTTCGATAGTGGTTAAATAGAAAACGCTAATCATTGGTATCAGTAGGGTATTATCATTCATCATATGTACATTCTCTCATTACTCCCACGAAATCGCCATCCGACTGGAAGATCATTCCAAAGTCTTTCTTTATCTTAAATTCATCACCCATTATGGCTCCTTCCCGAGGATCACGAGCCGAATTACACAACTCTAACACAATGACTTCACTTCTCTACCACAACACTCTCTGGAACAAAAACGCCTTCGCGACTCTCACTTCTACCCCCCGCCAATCTCTTTCTCTCTGCCTCCTTATCCGCATCCCCCATCTCAGCAAGTCCATACCACGTAATAGTAGCTAGACCCAACAGCGCAGCCAAGCAACTAAACACCAAAGCCACAATTCCCTTTGCCGTAAAACCGGCAGGCAACGGACCAGGGGCTACATTAGCACCTTGCAAATCCAAGTAATCTTCTGTGTTACCAGCCGCGTTACCTGTATATGGTACACCATGAGCTTGGCAAGCAGCGATGTGATCTTGTGGGATAGTGAGAGATTTTTGGAGTTCGAGAGGGGCTTCGATCATCGTAGCGATGAGACCCTGGTCGACGTGCCATTCGATGTGGCAGTGGAAAAGCCAAACACCTGGGTTATCGGATTGGAAACGGAGAACGAGGTAGCCGGATGGACGAAGAACGACTGTGTCGCGACGCATGGGAACGGCTGGGTAGGATGTTTCTGTTGTGTTGGTAGAATCGAATGTGCCAGCATCTTCATCGGATCTTTGGATTACTTGGAAGTTATGACCGTGGAGATGGAAGGGATGTTTTCCGGAGTCTAGAGGGTGTTAGCGGAGTACTTGTAAATGAAGTTTGCGACAACAGGATGGATATCAGGTGATCGGGTTTGCTAATCATGGGTTAGTACTTACCAAGGTTGTTTACGACGATTTCTATTGTTTGTTGGTGGTTGAGGACAAAAGAGTGAGTGAACTCTCCATAGACGGCAGCGTTTGCAGCATCATCTCCAGTGGACATAACTGAATATAAAGTGGGAACCTTGGGAGAGACGTATGTGATGTTGTTGAAGAATGCACTGTCAAGAGTCAGAATTGCGATATAAAAATGATAAAAATCACCTACTATGGTTTACCATTTCCAAGCACATCCATGACTACATCAAGACTAATAACCTGATCAGGTTCTGGGAGTAGCGTCATATGATCGTAAGGTACTAGATTGAAATCATCAAAATCGTTGTACTCGTCCACAAATGCAGCATCCGGAAGGGCTTTGGTATTATCGTAGACCAGCCACCCCGTTCCATTCCAATTCAAGTCGTCAGGAACTACGTCAAACAGGGACTAGAATATTTTAGCAAAGACTCTGATCCATATCAAACATTGTATTTACCGTATCCATGCTTGTGACAAAAGCAAAATTCGTTGAGGTGTCATTCTTGGTGGTGAGTAAGAAGCTACATCTTTGAGCTGCAGCGATATATATAGATTCTGCCTCTGCCTTCTCAGTATAGACGCCATCGACTTCAACAATGGTTATATTATGGCCTTCGAACCAGATGTACTGACCAGCGAAAGCACCAATGTTGACCATGCGAAACAAGTAAGTCTTCCCAGGTTGTACCGATAGAGTAAGGTTTTGAGTATCATTGAGAAGAACGGCTTGAGGAACAGGCTCCGCTCCGGTTGGATTTTCCACTCCGATAAACTTAGGAATCCAGACTTGCATCTCTTCATGGTACCAGTCTGAGACTGAGAGGACAAATTCCTCGTCAACCTCACCCGCATATGGGAAGTTTGGGTCTGTGACAATGAATGGGGCTCTCAGTCCGTCTGGATATTGCCCTCTGTCGTGGGAATGATACCAGTAAGTGCCTGGTTGGTTGACCTGAGATAAGTTTAGCGGACGCTCACAGTATAACCTTGTTTGTTTTTGATATATCATGGCTAACTTACAGTAAAATTGTAAACAAATTGTGAACCAGAGGGAATTCCACATTGAGATACTTGTGCAGGTCCATCCATATAAGTACTGCCATTCATAAAAAGACCGTGGAAGTGAAGAGTTGTAGTTTGATTGCCAAGTTGATTATCAACGTTAACAACTACTTGATCCCCAACATTTGCCCTCATGATAGGTAATGGCCATTGTCCATTAATGCCAATGGTTGGACGTTCATAAGCGCCATCGGGGTTTGCTCGTACCCAAGTGATGTTGAAGTCATAGGTAACAGTCGCTGCTTCTGCGAGGAGTGAAAATGCAAGAAGCAGCGCCGATAAGATGGGGAAGAATGATAGAGAAATTGCCATTTTCAAATCGAGTAATGAGTGACACTGTCAACAAGGTGAGGATTGAACTTTGGGTCGAGACGATTTTCTCTCAAGACTTCGAACTATTTTGTAGGTGAATACTCGAGAGCTCCCAATGTCAACCCAAAACCGAGATTGTCAACCACTCGGGTAATGAGGGTAGCTGTTGACGGACGATGGAGTGAAGTAAGGAAGTGGATACCCGAAAGCCCTGCTGAGGAGGGGAGTTTGTAAGTTTGCAAGGGCTAGCTAGCTAATAAAAGCTAACGATTGATAAGATGATCTGATTAAATATCAAACGTTATCGTAATCGATTAGTGACACGGGCTGAGTGGAGTATGCTCCGAATCAAGGAAGGCGTAGTAGAGAACCGAGCCAAGACAATAATCTAGGCTTTGTTTACGAAGAAGTCGCGGTACATTTTCCCAATTGCAAGAAGCTTTTGACCCCCGGTGGCTGCAGTTAAACAACAAGTAGAAACAGAAACGGTAACGTTCTAACCGAATACGTGTGCGAGAAAAAGACTGAAGTGATCGATATCAGAGCTGTATTTGGTGATATATGATCAGATATCCCGGAAGTCACTTAGGCCGAAATGTAAGTTGTAACTCGATGAAGAAGAATGACACCAGCATTAGAAATCAAACATTCGTTATAGGAAAAAGATGTGCTGGTGTACAGAATCCAGAGGCGCTCGATTTGAATTGTACGCATGCAAGGTCAAAACTTAGGAGACGATCTGAGTATAGACTAGACGGGACGCAATTGAGGAAGTGTCAGTTGATGGGTACAATTTGATGGAATCAACGATTGCCGTTCTAACGCCTCAAACTATCCGTGTGGAACGTAGAAGTGGCAGCAAATCCGCGTGATACCGTGCAGAAAGGAAGAAAGAAAAAAAGAGAAAGAGAGAAGAAAGGGAAGAAATAGCTGCAGGGAGATATGCTTGATGTTTCGATGCAAAGCGGTGTCTTCGTACTAGGTATCCATGGATATTCACACGCAAATTCGAGCACAGCGAATCCACATCGATTCCTTATCTATGAATCTTTGATGATCTGATGATCTGATAAAGATCACATCGTTCCATTTCTTCCCATCCTACCGAAAATTCACTAAACAGACTCGGAATTCATCGAACTCGATAAATTACCTAGCTCGTGCCACTAAATACTAAAACAGTTATACCAGCTAGGATACCAGCTATAACCCCACGGGCGTACAAGCTCCAGTTCAAGCTTTCGGGTCGTACAGCATTACCTAACCGTAAAGCTTAAAGGCCTCGTGCGGAAATAACCCAGAAAATAACCCAGATAGTTCCGCAAAAAGGAACACGGTAGGAGATGATGGATTCTTATTAATACATTGCTTCAGTCGTGCTGTGGATAATACGATAATACGATACTCAATGAATAAATAATAACTACACACATGTAGGTATCGATTGAATTCCGTGACAAGTAACAAGTTCGTACCGCCCTCGTATGTTCATGGTGTCTACGAAGTAGTTAGTAGTAAATCATGCGTAAGAATCACTTTTAACCTCGACCTCTTTACATCAACCAATCAACATTTCCGGGTGTCATTCCAAATCTACAACCTGCCAATACCAGGCTAGCAACAATCTTTAAAGTTTTCGTATAATAAACCCTGGAATCTTTTTTTCTCGGGGTTTCTTTTTCCAACACGCATTAGAGAAGCAATTCACTAGCTACTAGCTAGCTTAAAATTGAAAGAATTTTATCTGATGGCTCGGACCCTCCCTAGTGTCTAAGTGTTATCAGATCCTCGTTTCTTCTTATCAGATCCTTCCGCCATTTCCCTTTTCCCTCTATTCCCTCTTTCAATTTGAATGGAAATACAGGATACACGGCATCATCCTTCCATCATTTGAGAGTTTGATTTCTCTCCAAAAGTTTGGCCTTTCCCTTCTTTTGTTGCAGCGCGCAATTGTAACTACACGATCCTTTGAAGAAACAAAAATTATCGCTGCTATCATAGCGAAGATGACTGTCAGTGTTTTCTCGGTACCAGTGTTCTTCGTTGTATTTCGAGAGTCTCTGGAGACGGTCGTCATCGTTTCCGTTCTTCTTGCATTCATCAAGCAGAGTTTGGGAAACTCTGATCAAGATGCGACATTGCGCAAGAAGCTTTTCCGACAGGTAAGATATCTGATTGTCCATACGCTCCACCTTTCCGTATTAGATTGTAATGTTGCATTTGATCTCTAACGGGTAGCTTCTAGGTAATCTGGGGAGCTCTATCAGGTCTTCTCCTATGCTTGATCATTGGCGGTGGTTTGATTGGGGCTTTCTATGGAATTGGCAAAGATGCCTGGTCCAGTACCGAATACTATTGGGAGGGTTCATTTGCTATTGTCGCCTCTGTGATCATCACTTTGATGGGAGCTGCGCTACTCCGCGTGTCCAAAATGAAGGAAAAGTGGACAGTTAAGCTTCGCCAACACTTGGAGCCATCAGAAGATACAAGAAAACGAAGATGGTATGCTAGTTGGCTTGACTTCAAAAAGTGGGGAGAAAAGCACTTCCTGTTCGTTCTTCCCTTCATTACCGTCCTCAGAGAAGGACTTGAGGCCGTTGTCTTTGTGGCAGGTGTTTCTTTCTCTACGCCTGCAACAAGTATCCCACTCCCGGTCATTATTGGACTGATCGCTGGATTGGCAGCAGGATATGTCATCTACAAGTAAGTGAACCTGGTCAACCTTGCTGGTCAGACTAACACAGCACAGAGGTGGAGCGACATCGAAACTTCAAGTCTTCTTGGTTATATCTACATGTCTCTTATATCTTGTAGCTGCCGGTCTTTTCTCAAGAGCAGTCTGGTTCTTCCAAGCACAAAATTGGAACGATGCTACCGGAGGCGACGCAGCAGAGACTGGAGCAGGACCGGGTTCTTATGATATTAGGCAGAGTGTGTGGCATGTCAACGTAAGTTAAATTGACACCATCAGCATACGCTTTTACTGACACCTGTAGTTTGGCAATCCTGAATTAAATGGTGGTGGCGGATGGGGAATTTTCAATGCCATTCTCGGCTGGCAGAACTCCGCAACATATGGCTCTGTCATCTCATACAACCTCTATTGGCTTGTGGTCATTGTTGGATTCCTCTTAATGAGATATAAGGAGGTGAAGGGCCACCTCCCACTCGCTCCAACACTTAGCCCTTATCTCGCACCCGTCACAACTGTGAAGGGTTATATTGCAAACATGAAACAACGGGCCATTTACAAGGATGAAGAGGCCACGTCGAGCAACGAGGTTCAAGAACATAGAGCCAGCAGTGAGACTTCATCGATGGCTAAAGATCCCGAGAAGACTATAGATACAGTAAGAGAGGTACCAGTTTGTACCATTTCAGGCTGAACTGCTTAGCTGGTCGAGGTAAAATGCAAAAGCCACACTGTGCATGAAATTTGGATGACATAGCACTAGCTAAGTTCTCGGATGTAGACTCTTGCAATGATGAGGTTGGGACATGGTAATGAAACAATAAACCATATTCAGAGATGATGAAGCACATCAATATCGAAATCCTCCATCACATGCTTATGTTGAAAATGTTGATTTTTCCCTAAAATTGAGTGCTGCCTATTACATGAGCTGATGTCTTCGCTCTCAAGCCCCACGCAAATCGAACAAGTGCAAGCTCTTTCAACTATCGAGGTCTCGCATACAACATCAACATCCTCAGATCTAAGCCCAACTCGCAAAGAGTCCGCTTGAACATGTGGGTAGGTAGCTAGCATTTCCACTATACTATTACCAGTGAAGCTCTATGATGCCGCGCGTGAGAATCTTCCAAACACAAATTGCTATCCAGATATACCTCAAAATACCCATTCCAGAAACGTGTCTCGACTATCGACTATCGAAAAAACACTATACATTTATCTAGACCGAGAGTTCGGTATACGAACCCCGTGGTAATGGAAAGCCAACGAGTCTTGGAGTTTAAGATTCGTGAAATTCGAAGGACTATTGTTGGATATGGTATGTATGTATGCATCATGTTAAGCTTGAACGAATGGCTAGAGGGAAACATGGTGTATTTTTATTGTTGCAAGATAATTCAGGTAAGCAAATGATTTGAGTATTTAAGAGTTGAGAGATGACAATCAAGGATTATCTAATTGGCCAAGACCATGCTTAGCGTTGTTTCGGTCCCGACCAGTTATGGGAGTGTTACTTTCAGATGTTGATATTCACTTATCTTGGGATACCTACCTTGGTAGGTACCTACTATGTAGTTATCCGGTTGATGTATTAATAATGTACATTGTAAAACTAAATGCGACAATTCTAATTTACTTGGGTATCTTGGAAAATATAAAATCGTAAGCTTGGTCGAAATGCCCTGGATGCATACCACATGGTCTTTAGTCTCCTCTGGACCCTACCATAGATTCCAGCTTGCCTGCCAGAACCCGATGCTTTTTAATAACCTCTGCCCATTCTTCATCGTCGTCCTCATCCGCATCAGATTGACCCTCGGCTAGTTCTTGCTGGTCGACTTTACTTCCCATACCCGCAAGAACAAGGCTGAAATCGCCTCCCAATCGTCCCAAACTACCAGCACAGTAAAGAACTTGAGTGAGCAAACTATCTCTACCACTTTTGTCCCTGACATTAGGTAGATAAAGTTTCAGAGTTTCCTCCAACATTCCCACTAATTGAAGTGGAAAAGTAGTTAGGGCACTGGGTAACGGACCCAGCAACTCGTTATCTTTTTTCCCTTGCGTATTGTTTTTAACTCCGTCTGTTATGACTGGAGCTGTCGGTGGTGGAAATATAGAACGGAACATGGAAATAATTGCAAAACTCTGCTCCCGGAATATCTCAATATAGCGTTTTAAATATTTTTCCGTCTGTTGCCCTGCATCGAATCTGTTTCCTCCTGCCATTCCAGCTGATGACATTAACCGCAATGATTCCTGATCAGCGAGATCTCGTAAAGGACTGAGTGCATTGAGCATAGCTGTAAGACTGGCAAGGCGACAAACGAGGAATAAGGAGCCCAACGCCCCTTCCCGTGTTTGTGAGGAGCTTGGTACGGATGTAGAAGGATCCAGTTCGGGCGCAACACGCCGCAGCCAAGATATTGTACGCATAGCAGCCGCAAGTTTGAGAGAGGGTTGGCGCAAGGAGTATATGAGGTTTGTGGCCATAGATTGCATTTTCTCCTCCGCTTGTAAGGATACACTCGTTATGAGGGGGGAAGTAGGGTATAATGCGTGTAGTCGTCTGATGTGTGCATTCAGATCTAATGCGGAAGCATAATTTAATGTATTGTTTTCTCTACCAGTCGTACTGCTAGCAATTGTGTTCGAAGAGGATATCGCGGTAGAAAGTAAGGTAGGTAAGTCGAGAACATCCGCGAGCCTGTCTACGTTTCGTGATAGTAAAAGAGCTTTACGGCGTCGATCGAGGACATCATTCTCGATTCGATTGTTATAATTTTCGCTGAAATGAATAGCTGCATCTTCTAGCTTGGGAAGGGCATCTCGTAAGTCTGCGATGGCCTTTGCAAGAGTAGGAAGAGTAGTCGTGAGTGTCGATAGATGGTCGGAAGATGCGATGACTGATTTATGAGAACGCTTGGATAAAGCTTGTAGAGATAGAAGAAGAGAGTGGGATGTTTGGGAAAGCGATTGAGGTTCGGATGTATTCAGTGAAGAGAGGGGAAGGGTAGAGAGTCGATTCAAATAGGTGGCAGTTGTGGTATCGGTCGATGGTGGTGCTGGTCGTGGCGACGGTTTATCGAAATATGGAATGAGAAGCTCATATAACGGATCTGCCATTTTGACAACAAAAACGACACTGGCTGAGGTTACTTTGTAATTTTGTTTCGTGGTTGGAGTGAAATGAAATAAAATGTTAGGAGTAATGATTAATGCTCACCCCAAGAGGAGCTTCAAAAGTACGCTACTGCACTCCGAGCGGGATCTTCACAATCCCCCACACCACATCGCTTCCTTTGAATCTGCGGATTGCCAATGGAGAGGAGTAGATTATCACTTCGAGATTATATTCAGAATGTCAGAAACTTTCATGCCGAATGTCGAGCAACCGAGGACACTACAGGATAATGAAATCTCAAGCTTCAGAGATGTTCATATCCCCGGAGGTCATTCAGACTCATGTTATGATGTCAGCTGTTTGACAGGTTCTATTCGCTCAATTACACGTGCAGACAACTCTATATCAGACTCCGCGAAGCAAAAGGACTATCGTCTTATGGTTCCTGGGTTGTGTCACCCTCACATCCATCTTGATAAATGCTTCTTGTTATCACATCCAAAATATGCAGATCTAGAAATCAACGACGGTGAATTTTCCGAGGCAATGAAATTAACTAGTTTGTCTCTCTCTGAATGTTTCATCAATCATCAAGTTGATATTGCCATCATAACACATTCTTAGCTTGTTCTAAATTCTATATGTTCTAGGTGAAGCCAAGTCACGTTTCGAACATGATGACCTTATGGAAAGAGGGAGAGCTTTGATTGAGGAGAGCATTCGATTCGGTGTCACTCATATGCGAGCTTTTGTTGAAGTAGACTTTGGTGTTGGGATGAAATGCTTGGATGCTGGATTGGCATTGAAATCGGAATTTCATGGCAAGTGTCATATTCAAATATGCGTATTTGCCCAGGACCCAATATTCAGTCCCGACTATGGATCTCGATCAATGACAGATTTGCTGGAGCAGGCAATCAAACAACCCGGGGTCGAGGTGATTGGGAGTACCCCATACGTCGAAAAAAGTTTTGCCCTCCAAGAGAAAAACATTCAGTGGACCATTGAGACGGCGAAATTAAACACATTACATTTGGATTTTCACCTCGACTACAATCTAGATTTGAACCAAAAGCCTGCTATTCATACGGTAATTGAACAACTTCGTAAGACCAAGTGGCTAACCGACAGAAATATCGCAGGCTCGAAATTTCGAACTGTTGTGCTTGGTCATTGCACTAGACTCACACTCTTTGATGAGAATGCCTGGCGGAATCTTCGCCTTGAGATAGGTGATCTACCTATCTCCTTTGTCGGATTACCTACATCGGATTTGTTCATGATGGGTCGGCCTGCAAAGGACGCTGGTGGGAGTAACAGAGCAAGGGGCACACTCCAAGTGATTGAAATGATCAAGAAATACGACCTCAACGCAGTCATAGGAATTAATAACGTCGGCAATGCTTTCACCCCCTACGGTAGTTGTGATCCTATGAGTCTTACAAGTCTGGGTATGGGAATTTATCAAACAGGCACGAAGGCAGATGCCGAGATCTTATTGGTAATGGTACCTCGATCGACAGCAATCAGAATACTACTAATCGGAAAATATAGGAATGCGTATCTACAAGAGCAAGAGCAGCAATAGGTCTTGATATCACGCGCGACCTTAAGCTGGAGGTTGGAACTCCTGCGAATTTTGTTATCTTCGGTAAGAACGAAGCCCGAGATTTCAGAGCAAGAAAGTCAATACAGGAGTTGGTGTATGATGCAGGCGTTGAACGAACGACTATTTTTGAAGGAGAGGAGGTCAGTTCTACATGATACTACGGATCATTCACCTCGTTATCATATCATGTGTATATCGATTCCACGTGGCAGTCTAATCATTCATTTCATTCACGTGAACAGCCGTGCAAGACATTTGTTGCCGAAGTCAATTGAATCATGACAGGATCTTGAGAGAAATTCAAAACGTGGTAAAGTACAAAACAATAATTCATCAAGTGCAACATGATTATCAGCCTCTTGCAAATGAACGAAGCCGTAATACAAACCGTAATATAATGGTCGAAAATACTCTTGGAGTATTCTCGAGTAAGCTCAATATAAATACCCCATACAAAGATATCATACACATCACCCCTGTTCCACTTATCTGTCTCGGTTAAAGATACTTATTAATTAAATTTAAACTGTGATTGGTTAATTCTCCCGGATCTTACCAGTGTACACTTCAGTTTGTTGGGACAGGAAAGTGGAACCTTTTTACTATTTGAGACCCCTCGGTCGGTCGTTACAGACCTGCCTACTTCATCGTACATACATAGATACATAAATATCTCGACTTCCGCATTACAACAAGGAGAGTTAGATTCGCTCCTAAACACACTCGGTGTGTTACGACAAGAAGATTATTATCTTCTCGTCCCTTTCAGATATAGCCTAATTTTCGACATATCATTTTCCGATGCATGATCCATTCCCTATCCCGCCATGGCAATGGCTTAGCCAGGCCGTTCAGCCTTTCGCCAACTACTTTCACTTAACTACGCTACCTCTCCACATTCACGAAGTTGTCGGATCATTTTTAGCATACACTTTTATAAACAAAGTCGTCGCACCCCAAGTTTCTATGCTCCTGTTCCCCGAGAAGTACTCCAAATTTTCGGCAGAACGAAAGCTCAACTGGGATGTACATGTGGTCTCACTATGCCAGAGTTCTCTTATCAATATCCTGGCCCTATGGGTAATGTTTGCGGATGAGGAGCGCAGCAACATGACGGCACAGGAACGTGTTCATGGATATACGGGTGCTGCCGGCATGATTCAGGGTCTGGCAACTGGCTACTTCCTTTGGGATTTGATGATTACCCTCCAGAATCTCAGAGTTTTTGGAATTGGAATGCTGGCACATGCGACGAGTGCTCTATTGGTTTTCTCTTTTGGTTTTGTAAGTCCCTGCAGTTCCCGAGAAACAAATATTGCTAATAGATCCCCTACAGAGACCATTTGTTAACTTTTATGGTTGCACATTTATTCTTTACGAGCTTTCCTCTCCCTTCCTCAACTTCCATTGGTTCTTCGACAAACTCGACATGACCGGATCTAAGCCCCAACTCTACAATGGAATTGCCCTCCTCTTTACCTTTTTCTGCTGCCGACTTGTGTGGGGAACATATCAATCGGTTCGTGTTTACCAAGATGTATGGAGATCTATGCATAACCAGCCCGCATTCTCTGCTTCTATGAACCTTGATGCACTCGCAAATGGGACTGCCTCTGCAGTTGATGCAGCAGCAGGTCATAGTGCAGCTCCACTCAAAAATGACATTATGCGCTTTGCCGACGACGAATTTATTCCTCTCTGGTTAGGGTTCACATATTTGGGAAGCAATCTTGTGCTCAACACCTTAAACTTTTACTGGTTTGGAAAAATGATCGAGGCCGTTAGAAAGAGATTCCAGCCCGCCAAAGAAGGCAGACAGAAGGACAAAGCTATTGCCATGAAGAGCACTGGTGCTAATGGCAAAGTCAAGATCAGCGTTGAAGAGAGCGAGGTTCGTAGACGAAAAGGGTTGGACGATGACGAACCAATTGCGGCAGTCTCGTAGTTTTGTTTGTGTATATGTCAGAGTGTGGAGAATTGCATGGTTTTAAACAACTGGTAATTGGCGTTTGTGAGGGCTTCCACTCGCTTGGTGCATCGAAAGTTCATGATACTTAACTCTCTCCTTCTGTATTCGAGAGTCATTAGGCTTCTTTCCAACTAGAATTATCCTATACATAAAGACACATTTTCACCTATGATTTATGTTGCATTCACATCACTTTGATTGTGACTAGGTTAGTCTTCCTCTCACACTTCAACTTTAACGAACAGCCAGTTTTGTTTAGGGAATAGGTTTGAACTCCAATGTAATAAAATTATGGTATAAACAAACTCCCTATCTATCCCAAATAAGATTCGACCCATCTGTCCCTAACCCAAACCAGCGCAAAGAGTAATTTGACCAGAAAGAAACACCTCAAAGGGCATTCACTTATCAGTATAGCCACCAGCCTGGGGACCAGCAACCATTCCTGGCTGAGGTTGATACCCCTGTGCACCGGCGTTCTTCTCGAGGAGAATATAATCCAGTTCCTTGCTTGTTTGCATCAATTCGCAGCAGGGACAACAGTAGGATGCCATGCAGGCGCCACAGCCGCTTCCTTCGAGACCTTGGGATTGTGTTATTGTTAATTCCTTGACTGAAAGTAGGAATGGGAGCGGAGAGCTATGGGTCAAGTGTCACATATGAATAAGAAGAGACTAACCGTGTTTCTGCTGCATGTTTTGACGATCAAGCATTTGCAATACGAATGATAATCCTCCAACGGGAGCAAGAACACACCAACCGCAGCACGAGCCGTTACAGGAAGAATAGTCAACATCGTTGCCATGATTGATACGGTGGTGATTGCGGCCGGAGACGAAGCAGGGACAGCACCATGCTTTCATGCCTGAAATGGTTTATTAATATGTTGGTTTGGAATGGTACTTGAAATTGAGATTGGGAAACGTACAAAGATTAATGGGGGAGCAGCAAGCCCAGAAAGAGCTTCTGTATGAGGTAGACATGGTGGAAATGGGAGAGTCGTGGTGTGAAAGTGGTATCAAAAGATGTACGTAAAGTTATAGAGGAATTGTCAACGAGCGATTGAGAAAAGAAGAGCAGTTTATGTAGGAAGAGGTAGTCTGAAGGAATTGAAAAATATAATTGGAAAAGTAGGATCACAAGCTATATTTGAAGTCATCTCTACATTCCCTCACAGGCATTATCTAGCATCCATTTCCACATTACAACATTGCCGATGCACTGGGCTTCCAAATTAGAGTAAAGGATCAACAAAATAAGTTTCGTCCCATTTGGCCATAAAATGGAGCACCCCTGTCAGCCTTGTACGGATTCCGCTATTAAATACGATTATACGCTCGATACAGTATAGTGTTACGTTCGAATATGATTGTGCTCTCTGTTTCTTGCGAGCCTTAGACCAATTCTGCAAAGGAATACGCGATACGTTATTTTAAGGTTACTCAAAGGATAGACTAGAAAAGAAAAATTTGTGAGACTTGCACGATGATCGAATGCCGGATATGTACCTACGAGGGAACCTGTCATATTCGCGAGAAGGATATTAATTATGGGACATTATTTCTATTCCACAACCTTTATAATTTAACTATGAATCAATTGTTCGATATGAATCCTTACACTAGCTGTCTGCTGTCAGGGAAAAGACTGTTCTGACTAGGTCCCTAGAATGTTGGTAGGGAGAGACAACAACACGGCGTGTTGCCGTCCACTTTGTGCTTACTGAACACTGCACTCTGCCACAAAAATTCATAACGGTATGCAACATAACAATAAGAATTATTAGTATGAAAGGTGGAGAGCGATAGACATTAGCAAGTTAGGAGACCTCAGCCTCGTGTCAGATCTAAGAATATCCACTGCTAGGGAGGCTCGGTAGGTAGGATAGGGATCAGATGGTAAGCGAGTAAGCTTACCATACATATGGTGGACCATTGAGACAACTTCAGATGTAAGATGAGATGACCTTCATGTTGTTTCGAACGTCCCTTATTGTTCCTGTCAGGATTATCTCTTTCGATATATGGCTAGAGGGGTCGTTGAATTCAGATTCGAGGAGGTGAGAGGAAGGTATAGGGTAGAATACAAAAATGAGTACAAATGTTAAATTGGATATTGTATTGTAAATTGCCTGCTCAGTATAAAGATACTGACTGGTCTTTGGTGTTCTCCAAATATGTTTTTGAGTTGCAGGCATCCCCAACACACCTTCGAATGATGTTCTGGACAATTTTCAAACGAGAATGATCTTTAGTTTTTTATTGCTGATATATTTAATTAGTCTCAGGAGAACGGGCACAATTTGAACTGCTGCATTTTGAACTTGCTCACTCAAGCCTTTCAATAACGGTTTGTGTAGTCGTCGTCTCTCACCACAATCATAGTCTACATGGTAGGAATGGCTAGCAGGAACATGGACGGCTTCATGTGCTGTTGCCAAAAGGACAAATTGTCTCAACGGCTATGAACTGGAGCATATACTATGATCAAGGAGGATGAGGATGAAAGGAAGATAACATATTGTAACAGGTCCGCTAAAGTATACATTAACAGATTGGCCAGCATACCGTCGTATGATGTGGTATGTGAGGTAGGTTTCTAAATCGATTATGCCCGTCATCATCAAATGTCATTTAGTGACAACACTATTTTTATGGCGGACAACTCAATAAGGTTGTACAGTCACATCAATGGCACCATCACTGCATTTCTCAAGATATTCATGTCGAGATCATATCGTAGGATTCCCAATATCAGATATTACCTGAGTATCGTTTGAAGATGTGAGTGGCCTGAAATGATGATGCAGTTTGAACCATAAGGCGAGGCTACTCATCCATACCCCTGTGCACGAAGTATGTACGAAGTAGTACCGGAAATTGTGGGGAAAACTTTATATTCATCCATCGTCAACTTGAGCATATCAACATTGTGATGATGTTGGATGTGCGAGACAAGATCTCGATAAAAGAACAATTCCTTCTAACATGATTTGAATAACTTCGATAAGATACCCCAATATATTATTCCACTTTTCTTGCGGGCTCCGTCTCTGAGTTGAGCATCGGAAATCATCAAAAAAAATCGATTTTGGGAAATTAGGTGCTGTTGTTGGATTGTGCCTAAATATGTCCATATTGCCGACCTCGGCTGCTCCTTCATCCCTTCAAAAGACATCGTTGATCTACTTTAATGGTATAGAGTTTCAAAATATCAATCAATTGTTCTTGAAACGTCTCTACTTCGAAGAGCTTGACGGTGGATCATGGGAAGAGTGAAGTCAATGGCTCGGGGCCCATGGTCCTTGGCAGATTCGTATGGTACGTTTGTTGATTGCTGTTCTGCGTAATTCCCAACCACGGCATCTAACACGCATCTACAGATTTTATATCCACCTTCCTCAACGGATCCATAACCCGCAGATGTCCCTCAAGCGCGAGCCATAGTTCCGTAACACAAGTTGGTAGACTGGCATTCAGCACGTCACACTCATCACCCAGGCATCGTATCGGAACTCGCAGATCTGGCAAACAGACAGGCCTGCATCAGGAAGGACGGAACAGATGGTTTCACGACTATTTCACAACGCATCTTCCCTCTTCATCTCTTCATCCCGATTCTCGGTCGAGCGGTCCGCACCACAAATTGCCAAGATCGGCCTCAACACCACATACGCCCGGCTCAGGTCCTTCTCCAGCTGCCGCTCCACCAACTATTGGAACATCTAGAGAACTCACTGTCGTGCGAATACCTCTACGAAGCGCGAAACATCATTTTGGAGTTTCTGTTTCCCGCGGTACGAGACCATACAATGAAGATACATACCAGGCCGGAACGATAGAGATCCCAGCATTTGCAAAGCGGGCTCCTATCAGTCTAAATCGCTCGAATTCCAAAAGCATCACAAGCGGTGGTACATCGGCAGATGGTGCGAGTGGAGATCCACAAGTTTTCTATTTCGGCGTGTTTGATGGGCATGGGGGAAATGAGTGTAGTGATTTTTTAAGGGAGGAGCTACACAAATATATCGAGTCAACAGCAGAAATATTTAAGCTTCCTTCAAGTTTAGACAAGAAGGCGAAAATTCCCAATTCGGGCACGTCTGTGGCAAGCAAGGAAGGGCAGGATGATGGATCAGGAACACCGATCTCTCAGCAAATTTCTAATAAAATTAAAGCGATTGAGTTGGAAAAATCACTTGTTTCAGATTGGAAAATAACAGTCGGTGGATATTTCCGCCGTTTCAAGCCAGAATATTTCGATCTTCTGGATTCTATGGAAGGAGAGCCAATAAGGAAACCTGTTTCGATCGAAGCAGCCTTAATGTATGCCTTTTTGAAAGCAGATTTGGATTTTATATCAGCACAAGCCCGGAAACCTAGTCCGGATGATAATAACACCGACTCGCCTTTGAATGCGGATGAAATCCTAGGAGAGCCTGCGCGTTATTCCTCTCCACATCGCATTGGAGGTCCTACGCGATTTGTTGGCGGTTCCACTGCTTCAGTTGCTATGATATCTACCCCAACGCCGACTCCTTTCTGGCATCCATCTTCTCCTTCGACACTGATGGTCGCCCACGTTGGTGATACTCGTATAATACTTTGCGAGACCTTGACCGGGTTGGCCAAACCTGTGACTACCAATCATCATCCAAGTTCACCAGTTGAAGGAGGAAGACTAAGACGATATGCTGCGACATTTGTCACAGATTCATTTGGGGAAGAGCGCATGTCTGGGTTGGCTAATACAAGAGCATTCGGTGACATGCGTTCCAAGCGCATAGGCGTTTCTGCCGAGCCGGAAATTAGACGTGTAGAGATATCCCCAGCTGAATATAGCTTTTTGGTCTTGGTTTCCGACGGTGTCAGTGGCACTTTGAGTGACCAAGAAATTGTGGATGTTGTGAAAGAGGCGAAAACGCCAGAACAAGGGGCGAGAGATCTTGTTAGTTTTTCCACAGAAGTGAGTAAAGAAGGAGACAATGCAACATGCTTAGTTGTTAGGCTTGGGGGCTGGGAGAGAAGAATTGAAGGCGGAATGGGAAGTATGGGGACGAAGGAGGTCAGAGATTATAAGAAGGGTGACGCGATGGATCCTAGGAGAGCTAGAACTTAGGATTAATAGTACATATAGACTCTATAGCTAGAGTCAAAAATAGTATATATTTAACATGTGCCCGTCGCAAGTTACTTGCGATTGCCTTTGAGTTTCTCTCAACGAGCTTTCCAAATCCGGAACCTTAGATTAGATGGACCCCTTACGTCATTTTCACATGATATGATCTCAATATGATTTCTGAACTTCGGGAATCAAAGCAAGTCAACATCGCATACAATCATGTCTTCTAAAGTCGACCCAGCCATCTTAAAAGCTCTCTCTCTTGATCCTTCTTCGGCAACGATATCCAAGCATGGCGGCGGTGGATTCGCCAAAACTTTCAAGATAAGTGGTACAGTTGACAGAACGCCAAAGTTATTTTTTGTGAAGACTGGGGGGAAGGATAGTAAAGAGATGTTTATGGGTATGTATGCAAAATTATTACCTTGTTTCTGGCCTATGGACCAGATTCCTACTTTTTTAATGATTCGATGTGCATCTTAATCACGTGCTCACAATTCATCCCAGGAGAACACGCCTCCCTCAACGCAATCCACTCCATTGTTCCCAGTCTCTGTCCACAATCCTATGCCCATGGGCCCTTAGAATCTGGAGAAGGATTTTTCCTCGCGACAGATTTCTTGAATTTGAACCCGCGAGATGCAAAATCTACACCTGGATCGGGTGAATCTCTAGCGAGAAAATTGGCAAAGTTACATAGCGTATCTGCACCGATTCCAGAAGGATATCAGGAACCGCAATTTGGATTCCCGGTTACGACGTGTTGTGGAGAGACGAAACAGGATAATAGTTTTAAGGAGAGTTGGGCGGAGTTTTATGGGGATAATAGGCTGAGGGGGATTATCAAGGAGGCGGAGAGAAATCATGGGAAAGATGGGGAGTTGAGGAACTTGGTGGAAGAGATTGTGGAAAGTGTTGTGCCGAGATTGTTAGGGAATGATCATTTGAGAGGGAGTGATGGACAGAAAATCAAACCGGTGGTAGTGCATGGAGATTTGTGGAGTGGGAATCATGGGACTGGACGCATTGGGGAGGGAGGAGTGGAAGAGGTGGTTTATGATTCGAGTGCGAGTTGGAGTCATGCAGAGTTTGAGGCGGGGATTATGAGGATGTTTGGGGGGTTTGGGAGCGCGTTTTGGAGGGAGTATCATGAGGTTAGGCCAAAGGATGAGCCGCAAGAGGAGTGGGAGGATAGGTGTGCGTTGTATGAATTGTGAGTATATTGATTTGTGGGCTGTGGACTGTGGGCTGTGGGTTGGAATCGGATAGCTGATTTGTGATCTAGGTATCATCATCTGAATCATTATGCGATGTTTGGGAGTGGATATAAGGGGGGTGCTATGAATATTATGAGGAGACTTTTGGAGAAGTATGAAGAGGAAAATTGATACGGGAATTGAGCACTTATAAAGTAGTAATCTTTTGTCTCAACGAAGTAACATTATTTCATTTACAATCTAGAGACTTTCGAAAAAGGATTTGACATCTTTTGAAGATTGATGTTCAACATTAGTATAGTGGATTGTTGAGCTATCGATATTGAAGGTCAGGTGATACTACATGGCCTAACTTAGTATAGTTTCTGCTTGGCACTTGGCATTCAATCAACCCCCGCGCAACTTAACAAGATCTTGTTCGCTTCTGCGATTGACGTTTTCGAACACAACCAGTGTTTCTTATTTCCAATACACCGTTGATGCCTGCATCCAATAAACTCTAGACATTGTTTACAAATAAAAACGCAAATCTACAAGTGGTAGCGGGGATTCAAGGAATTCACGTTTGTAGGATGTTCTGGTTGCAACAACTATTCCATCTTAAGTGTCGTTGAACAAGCCCACCTTGCACTCTGTTAAAGCAAATCTATCGAAGTGGTCTAAGCGGAACACAGTCGTAGAATAGTAGTAAATTATGTTTTTATATTGTTGGCTTCGTTGGTCCAAGGCATTCTTCTGTTCAATGTGCTTTGACAGATTCCGAATACTGTTCTTTGTGCTCAGTCTAACCACACTTTCTGTCAATTGCATTGATTTCATGCTCAAGTGCGTGTGTGATCTTTCGGGGACAATAAAGGCAGTGGAGACTATGAACATGAGAAGAATTGGTATATATTATTTGTATATAGGCTTGTAGCAGCCCGATTGAAGGGACGTACACGAAGGCTATTGCCACTATCAGAGGGCAGGAAAGATTACAATTGATACACGGAACACTTTTATAGTCACCGGCAGTCCTAGCTGACGAGTCTCAAGGTGATTCTTGACTTCTTCATCGATGATCGAGCATCTTGATTCGTGAGTTTGTCAGCCAGCTCTATGTAAGCTTTCTTAACACTGATTGTGCCAGACATCTTTTCTGCGCTCGTCCGTTTCAGATGCTTGATTGATTAAAATTGTGGCAGCCATCGGCAATTTGTCGGAAACTATTCAGTCAATTTTAGCCGTTGTTTCCGCAAACTCATCCGAAGATTGTCTAGAAATCCAGCTATTCCTAGCACAAACTCCAGAGGTTTGCTTCTTGTCTATCTTTGCTGCCTCCATCTTTCTAGTCAGCCCATATTCATGACAAGTAATGGCCCGTGCTTCTCAATCCACACACGGCAGAGCGTCCTCGTTGCACTTTCTGCGCCGTAAACAATACGCCCAACACCCGTTCCCGTCCGCTGTGATATGTTATGTGAAGTAAGTCCCAAAAGAAATCTTTTGTTATAGGGGAGTTTTGATAACAGCTCAGACGTAATATTACTGCCTTTTATACTTCTTACATATTTGTCGTATATTAGTAATTGACAAGAAAAGAAGCGACAAACACAAGCTAATACAACCCTCTTGAAGAGGCAGACAGTTTGGGATCTTCTATTGGACAGCGATAAGAACCAGACTGTCGGGTATTGAGTAATTTATTAGCTGCCAGGCACAAGCGAGATTTCTTTGCGTCTGTCAAGCTTCCTGATGCTGTAGCGAGCTTTATGTGCATGGATCGGATCCTCTTCCGGATAAGCTTCTGATAGCAACTAATTATAAGCAAGCCATCAGCTGAACACAGGAAGATATATATACTCTGTTAACTGCCAATTGTGTTAGTTTATTGTCAAATGTCGTGTTCATTTATAGAGGAGTTGGCATACGGACCCGCCGTTCTTCAGTGTCGCAGACCTTTTGACTTCACTCTACTTTTTGAGGAAATCTATCTCACATTACTCCCATCGTGTATCTTTGTGGTCCTTGCCGCTATAAGAGTGTTTACGATTCACAACAAGCCTCTCATAGTCCGACGGGGCACACTGTAATCCCCTTAAGCTTGTTAGTCAAAGCGCCTCTCTTTTCTTTTAGAAGATATCCATGTTATACTCCAACTCGAAGTAGCTAATATATGTAAAGATTACAGTGATGATCTTCGCGTTGATACAGATCATCACTCTAGTATTAATTTGTATTAATCATGCCAGAACTTTTCTTTTAGTACCTGCGACCACATTGTCATTGGTGGCCGCGATCGCCTTAGCGCTCTTGTCGCATTTGAGCATACGCATTCACTTTCTCCATCATTTACAATTGGCTCATACTTGTGCATCACTTTCCTGTTTAAAGCTGTAACTACGCGGACTTATTGGCTCCTTGCCAACACTGACACAAGCTACATACACGTTGCCGAGGCGAGTTCTGTTGCACTCCTCTTCCAAATTACCATCATCGTTCTTGAAAGCTGGAGTAAAGAGCAGTGGCTTTTTGACAACAAAATTGATGCGGCCGAGGAGTTGGCTAGCTTTGTGGATCGCTCTCTATTCGTTTGGCTTGACAAACTACTCCTTCACGGATACCGACAAAAGCTCACATCGCTTGATCTAAAACCGATTGATCGGGATCTAGGTACAACTAACCTAGCGAATGACTTTCATGACATCCAGAAGCATCCAAAGCGTGCGTATCCCTCATAAAGCATTACCTCTAATCACCGGCCCTGACCTTTCATACCCAGTTAGGCGTTCCGGTCTTCTAGGCATAACTTTACGATGCTCGGGTTCTTCCATGCTTTTTTCCTATGCTACCACGACTTTGTCTCACTGGCTTCAGCTTTGCACAACCATTTTTGGCTACATCGTTGATTGCATATTTTGAAAACCAAGGATCATTGACTTTGAATGCGGGGTACGGATTGATCGGAGCTTCCTTCCTTACCTATACTGGAATTGCGGTAGGCAGGCGTATACGCCTCTTCTGGTTGAAATGATGCTTATTTATCTGAATAGATATATACTGGATAGTATTGGCACATGTCGTATAAATATGCCACAAAACTTCGAGGTGGTTTAATTGCAAGAATCTCTGATAAGTTAATGAGGCTCAAGCAGGAAACCGGTCTTGAGTCAAAAGTTTTCACCCTCGTAATCGCAGATGTCCAAAAGATAATTAGTGCTTTCGCATATATACATGAAATATGGGCGGTGGTTCTAGAAACTGGTTTAGTAACATGGCTTCTCTGGAGACAGATTGGACCCTCGAGCGTGACTGTCCTGACAGTCGCGTTGAGTTAGTTTCCACCACCTAAAAATATATGTATCTTCTGACATTTTTATCTATTAGTATGTGCCATGGGATCAGCTTTTCTCGGAAAACACGTTGGCAAGGCACAGCAAACCTAGCTCGCAAGCACAGAGAAGAGAATTGCGGCAACGAAGAAAATGCTGTCTTCTCTAAAGGCAATTAAAATGATGGGTGCCAGCCAGCGTGTATGTATGGCCATTGAGAAATTTCGAGATCTCGAATTTGTGGCCTCCAAGTCCTTTCGTACACTTTTGATCGGAATTTTGATCTCATGTGAGTGTGAACAGACTCGGGCTCTGTGCGCGTTTACTAATATGTGTCAAAAGCGTACTCCACTCTCACATTGGCGCCCGTTGTTGCATTTGGGACATACACTGGCTCCACTAGGGCTACAAATGGAGACTTTAATGCCTCGAGATTATTCGTTTCACTTATTCTCATTAATCTGCTTGCATCACCACTCATACGTATTTTACAGATTCTCCCCCATTTTGGAGCCGCGCTTGGATGCTTCTCTCGTGTAGAAGACTTCTTTGAGAAGTCAGAAGTCATTGACTCCAGAGTGACTATTGTTGATGGAATCAAGCCCGGGAAGGGTGACCACAAGACCGAGTTTGCAGAAGGGAACGAAGTATTAAACCAGGAGAAACAGGAATATCAGTTCAAGTCGCGCCATCGTTCGATACTATCCATGCGACACGCAAGCTTTGGCTGGGGTACCGAAACAATTCTGCACGATATCAATTTGGAAATTCGCGCAGGTCAACACGTCGCCGTTATTGGTCCTGTCGGCTGCGGTAAGTCGCTCTTATTACAAGTAATACTTGGTGAAGTCGAAGTTGAGGCTGGAACTATACATGTTGGAGGCATAGGTATCGGGTACTGCAGCCAAAATCCATGGCTAGAAAATGTTTCCGCACCCGAAAACGCATTTCGAAGCGCACCCAATGACAAATCATGGGAGAACTTGGTTGCTGAGAGTTGTGAACTCGGCGGCTTATTGAGTATAGAAAATGCGCATCAGACTGTTGGAAGTGGTGGAGCTAAAATCAGTGGTGGCGAACGCCAGCGACTAGTAAGTCGCTCTATTACACATAAAAACAACGACTTACCGAATTCAGGCTTTAGCACGTGCGATTGCAACACGACCTGCAATTCTACTCCTGGATGATATTTTCAGTGCTATAGATAAAGCTACAGAAATTTCTGTGCAAGAAAAGTTGTTCGGACGGAAAGGAATTTTGCGCGAGCAAGGAACTACAGTATTCATGTCACTCAGGACCGTAAACAGGCCCGTGGACCAAAATTGTGTCATCTTTTAATCCTCTATAGAACAATTCATAGAAGCTGCCGATGTGGTTCTTCAAGTGAACAATGCGGGAAACCTCCAGCAATCGCAGCCTATGGCTTGCATAATTCAGGCCACACGGGCTGGCAGGATTGAAGGGAAACCAAGCAGTGCTACAGAGTCCGGCTCTGGCTCTAAATGTCAATCAAAGAAAGACCATGCCGACCCGACTAAGATCTCAGATAAGAGGATCTACCAAGCTTATTTCCTTTCTTTTGGACGTTCAAACCTGGTCATCTTCTTCATTGGTGCCATTATTTTTTCCTTCACTTTTAGGTTTCCAAGTATGTCTATTTCAAAGGGATCGTGTAATTATTTTAGCTACTGACATAATGGTAGGCATTTGGGCAGATGGTGGTCTGATGCAAGTACTGGTAGCTCGAAAAAGAGCGTTGGGTACTGGATGGGCGTATACGCATTCTTGAATTTGCTCCCACTAATCACCATAAGCCTTTGGGTCGCGTAAATCTACCACTGGCTTGGAAATATGCCTAAGCTAATTTTGTTTTAGTCATCTCATACTCATAATCATTCTAACTTCAGGTGTTGGGTTACATGGTAAACTCCTCCGATCTGTCCTCAATGCACCTTTCATCTTCATCGGCACTATCGATTCCGGGAGCCTCATAAATCGATTCAATCAGGACCTTATGCCTGTTGATACCCAGCTTCCATTTCAGCCTTTAAACACTGTTTCTGGACTATTCGCTGCCATTTTTCAGACAATCTTAATCACCGTCTCTACTGTTTATATCGTTGCTATTCTTCCTGTTTTGGAAGCCGCGCTTTTTTTAATACAGCACTTCTACTTACGAACATCCAAACAGCTACGGCAGCTTGATTTAGAATCCAAAGCTGGCCTACACACAATGATCGCAGAGGTATATGAAGGATTGGTGACAATTAGGGCCCACGGCTGGCAGAATATTATGCGAGGGGGGTTCTACGAGAAGCTGGACAGATCAAAGGAGCCACTGACGCAGAAAATTCAATCTTGGATTGCTTTAGAGACCTTTCTTGGAGCCATTGCTAGAATTGAAGCTTTTGAGCAAGAAACGCCTGTAGAGCCAGAAGTTACAGCTCCAATTGATGCACCTATTGCATGGCCAGCCTCAGGCCAGCTGAGTTTTGAAAACGTTTGGACAAGCTATGACCCCGATGTGGAAAAGCCTTCCTGGAGTTTACAAGCAATAACGTTCAAAATCAGAGCTGGTGAGAGAGTTGCGATTTGTGGTCGTAGCGGTTCTGGAAAGTCAACTCTGTTACTATCTCTCTTGGCGCTGATCGAGACAACGGAGGGTGCCATATACCTTGACGGTATCGATATTTCAAAAGTTCAACGATAAGTTTCACGATCCAAACTCCATGTTATCTCACAAGATGCGTTCACAGATGGAGAAATCGTTCGCGATGCACTAGATCCTGCTGGAAACCTGTCTGATGACACTATCAATAACGTCCTGTATGATTGTGCTTTACTGGACAAGATTAATGCATCGGGGTCTCTCTCTGCTAATTTGGGCGACGTCAATCTATCGGTTGGCGAAACCCAACTTTTTGTCTTGGCCCGAATTATTCTTGAAATCGAGGATTCAAACAGAGGCGGTGTCGTACTACTAGATGAAGCCACTCGCAGGTAAGAGAGAACCATTTTATTGAAAATTAATGGAAACTAACAGACTGACAATTATCGATGTCGCTACTGAGCGAAAACAATGAATGTTGTCGCCAAAAGATTGCAAGGAAAGACCGTGATATCAGTCTTACATCGTCTCGAGGCCGCGGTTGAATTTGATAAAATTTTGGTTTTGGAGAAGGGAAAGTGGCACATTTCGGACTCCCAGAAGAGGTTATTAGAGATTCTGATTTATTTTCGTCTTTCAGAAACTTAAAATGAGCTCGGAAGATATTGTATTAGCATACGGACAAAAGTCTATCTCTTTGACGTTTGTAGTAGTTATTGAGCAGGTTCAAAATTTACTCCTCGTCCCTCAACGTAGGTTGGATTCCTGCAGAGCCTTTCGTAATTGGTTTCGAGTTATTCGAGACGTTCAGGACCGCGAAGGGTTTGGGATATGAGGGTTATCAGATGGATTCGTTTGTATTTCTACAGCATAGGATGTTATCGGTAACCTTGCCAACCGGAATTTATCATGAACTGACGTATCACAATGAGCCACTGGGTGAAATAAAATGTCGCCACGGAACTCACTTGCAGAGAAACTCGCCGAATGAGGTGGGGTTTCCTCTCATATTACTGCAAACTACAGCGAGTCTCTATCAGATACGACTCAGGGCATCCATACTGCAGGAAGAGCTCATACACTATGTGCAAGTTGAAATGCAGTCCATGACTTTTTCGAATTCGTGCCTCATTTCCCATATGATAAGACGACGCAGAAGATTGACAGCATTCTGCAATGAACTCCATAAGTATCTGAATGGACCGGGTTCGCTACGAGGTGAGCCAGAAGCGTAGCGAGACTGGCTTTAGATGTACGCTTCTCTCCCTCTTTCACTCCACCTGCATTTTTACAGCGCGGACCGCGCTATAAGCGAGCTAACTACAGAAAAACTTGGTTATACCGGACTGAAATTTTTGATTAATGAAATCCAGTATAAAGAAGATTCCAGTATAAAAAATAATGGTCTAAACTTTCTAATCAAAATTTATATCCGATTTCAACTTTAAACCCTAATATTTTCTCGAAAATATTATATGATAATAGCCTTTCAAGCTTATTCATTCAAAATATAACTTATTTAGTCAAAATATAGCTTATTCAGTCAAATTGATTATCAGAATTTATACTTTATACCAGAATTTAGTTAATTTAGTCTAATATACTAGTTTTCATCAAAATTTTGGTATTCTTATATAAATTTAGAAAAAAAAGAAAAAAAAGTCTAATATATCCAAGTTTTTGGTATATCCCAGTCCGATATAATCAAGTTTCTTTATATAAATATAAAGGCTATAAGAGTAATTAATGTTACTACTTTAAATAAATTAATAGATATTGAACTATTCCCACTTCAAATTTCAATATTTGAAGCTGTTTTTACTTTTCATTAGTATTTAAAGCTTCTAATGAGTTCTAAATAGATTTAGAATAAAGATTCGAATTCAAAATCCAATCAAACTAATGATTTCAAATAAAATATAAATAAGTTTGTAGAATAAAATATAACTTTTACAATACTTCCACTATCTAGAGTTCATCATATAAATTTTCAACCAGCGATGTAATTTTGATTGATTCAAAGGCCTAAAGCGAGGATACATTTAGATATACTTTATATTACTTAGCCTTTCAACCTTCGTAAACCTAGATATAAGGGCTCAAAAATTTCAAGGTCTAAATACTTATATATAGGAGTTGTCTGTATATTCAAATTCAGCCTTGACATTTAACCTTGATTTTATATTTTTAACCTAATAATTAGTTATATGAATTTATATAATTATTATGTAATAAATTGAAAGCTTAGGTTAGTTATTACTATCGAATTTATAAAAGTATTAGGAAAATGAGAACTATATGCTTTTCTATAAGGATATGTCTGTTCAGATCAAATTTATTATATAAATATTGATTAATCTTGAAAAATATACTTGTATAAATGGGATACTCGTATGGCCCATGTCTATATAGTTAGATTTAATTGTAAGTTCTCGATAGTGTCGCTGTGGTCTCAAGATCTTCAGACGTCGATAAATCTCAGGCTTCAACGGTCATCTCATATTTCCAAGAACCAAGTTCTGAATAACAGTCTTGGGCAGCATTTCAAGTACACAGAATAAAAATAATTGCCTCGCCTGCTTCAACTCAAAGCTCGATTGAAAGAACACAGCCTCAACAATTGAAGGCAAAAGCTTCCGAGTCTGGATCGCTACTCACTTCGAAGTTTACATCTTCTGGTTCTTTTAACTCATTCCATTTCACCAGGTTGAAAACCCCAAGGAGCCACTAGGTCCAATGGAAATTAACATTAAAGTCAAAGCAGCCAGTGTCAACTTTCTTGATCTGCTCACGGCCCGAGGACGTACCGCCACCTACATGTGCAGGTGTGGTGACCCGAGCCGGCTAAGGTAGTACTCTCCATTGTTGGTGCCAACCGAGAATAACGATAATTCGATACCGTTCTACGAGTACGGTGTCAATTCTCTGCTTGCCATGGAGCTCTGAGATTGGTTTCGAGGGAGTGGACCGAGACAGATGGACAGAACCTTTCTGGAGCGGAATTCTTCATGGGGGAAATAAGAAGACAATAATGCATGTAAAGATATAGCCTCTCCGTAAAGCATGGTAGGAAGCTGACATGGTAGAGTTGAGGCTATATTGGCTACCTATGTAGTAATTACCAAGTATCTGACATTGTAGTCCTAAATTAGATTAAAGTGTACTGCACGTGCTATGCAGGAGCCACCTACTCTATGACTTTCACACATTCGACATCCAACATGGAAATCTTGCCGTTAGGCTGCTTATTAATTGCGACGATATACCATCAACTACGATTACCTAGGTACTGTTAACATCGACACGATCATACCCTGGTCACTCGATGATCGATAGAGTGATTCACTTTTTGGCAGTGAAAATGTGCTGATAGCATTAACGACCTCGGGACGAAGAAGCCTTGTTTTTTGGGTGGAAGTAGGTAGATATTTTGCTGTCTAATAACTCTAGGAACAAAATATAAGAACAGATTATTTATATTTATATTTATTATCAAACATCAAAGTTAGTAAAGCGTCACCATTTGGAATTTACCAATGGATAGGTAGTAATTATAATAAATTTATATACATGATAAATTTAACAGAATAATTTATAAGGTTACTTTATACATGCAGGTAGGTATTGGTGACTTTGAATTTCAGTGATTTACCCTTGGGCCCTGGGGTCACTTAACCGGGATTTATTTCTCGAGGACACTAAGGAATCTGGCATATCTTCAATCTACAACTCCCCTCATCAACAAAATATTTCACGCCACATATCCTTCAAAGGCGTGAAATTCTAAGAAATTCCTACAGAATCACTGTCGCATATGGCTCCATAGCAATTTGATACTATTCACCTTAACGATCACGACAGCTAAAAACGCGTTCTCCCTTTCGTCTGTTTACGCGTAGCATACAATTTTGATTTCGAGATGGCACCCGAACAGTCCGCATCACCACCAGGAAGGCGGAGAACAGGTGCAAATAGGGAGAATCAATACTTGTTTAACTTAGGAGTCAAGGGAAGGTTAGTGGTTAATTGCTCTTTTGTTTATACATTATTTAAACAGGACTAGGAAAACTGGTGTTGAGCTCCCAGATACTGGAATTCGCGACGCAAATGGCTTAGAACCAATGGACGATTTATTCTCCCCCGATAAACCTGAAAGTATTAAGACGAGTAGAAGCGCAAATGGACCACGGAGAAACGCGCTGGAGGACGCGACAATATCTAGTGAGGAGGATATGGATATGGACGGAGAAAGTATGTTTACATGACCACAAATGCACGATTGGCAATATTGATATTCTTTTAGATACAGCCCCGGAACCTACTGAAGTCTTGAACCAACGAAGACAAGATGCGCGATTGGCCTTGCCTATACCTAGATCGAGGTCGCCTTTAAAAACTCACCTACAGTCGCCAGCCCGCAGGCATCCATCATTCGGCATTTCTTCACCCGCCAAAGAAGCATCTAGCGAAGCCGATGATACGGGCCCTGTCCGACGAAAGTTGGATTTCTCAGCCGATGATATAGCAGTCGAAACGAAACAAGCAACGAGTGCTCCCAATGGACGAGGAAAACCAGGACGCCCAGCACTAGGTAATCTTACAAATGGGACTAGACTTTCACCCGGCAGACTTCCTCCCCAAACTTTAAACCAGAGTAGCGATGGCATGGAGAATCAAGACGAGAGTGCATTAGAGTTCGAAGATGATTCGAATCAATACAACGCTCCGGATGACGAGGATGACGATGCCGCTGTCGATGCGCTCGAGGGAAACTCAGACTTGGTAGAAGCGTATGGGGAACAAGAAGCGGAAGAAGAGATTGAACAAGTGGGTGAGCCAGAACCGGAACCTTCCCCGCCCAGAAAAGCAGCAAGTAAGAACAAAGGGAAAGGAAAAGGTAAAGTGATTGAGGAACCAGAGCCAGAGGAAGTACCGGAACTAGAGCAGCCCCCACCAAAACGCAGAGGCAGGAAACCGAAAAATTCGGCTCCTCAAATCGAACCTGTGGAGGAAGAAAGAAAGGAAATCAAAGAAAGACCTACAAAGAAAGCACGACGATCTGCAGAACCTGTCGAAGCACCCGAACCTACAAAGAGAAAACCTGGAAAACCTGGAAGACCGAGTAATGCCACGAAATCCACCTATGTACCCAAAGCAGCGGCGAAATCAAAAGGTCGATCACATATGGCCCCAATACCTGAGGTGGACTCACCTCTAGTTCACCGCGGTCCCCCTATTCCCAGGAAAAATGGCCTCTATATTCTTCGACGCGAGACGGCATTGGGTGGCACTGGAATGCTACGAACCAGATCTGGCCGTAACTCAATGAAGCCTCTCGCATTCTGGAAGGGTGAACACGTCGAATATGACGATGACGGAACGGTACCAGATGGAACCCACGGTGCAAAGATTCTGTTACCTAGCATTAAGGAGGTTGTTCGTGTAGATGAAGTAGAGCAAGAAAAGCGCTCGAGACCGAAATATCAAAAATCTAGCAAAAGCAAATCAAAGAAGAGGGTGCGAGAAGAAGTTGATGAAGATTCGGAAACAGAAGAATGGGAATCCCAAACTGGTCGCGTTGAAGGTTCAGTACGAATATGGGATCCGGAAGATCAAGTTGGAGAAAATGCTGCAGAGAAAGTGGAAGATGTTGCTTTTTCGTCAGCTGCAATCAAGACTCGCGATATTCCAAATGCTTCATTCAAATTTGCCAAAACCCTTACATTGCCCTTTTTCGGTTCAGGTATGGTCGACCTCGAACCTGGCGCTGTCAAGAAACCAAAGAATTCGAGGAAGATGCAGATGGTGTTTTTCGTGTTCTATGGCCGAGTTGAAGTTTCGGTCAACGAAACGACTTTCAGAATTGGCAAAGGTGGAATGTGGCAAGTCCCTCGAGGTAAGCATCAACTTCACCAAACACTCATTTACCCAAATACTAAGATAATGCAGGAAACTTTATAGCATCACTAATGATTACGACAAACCAGCGAGAATATTTTTCGCGCAAGGCTGTGAACTTGAAGATTCGGAAGGCGGTGCTGCTCCACCTGCAAGTCAATAATGTACAAATAATGTAATTGGTGTCTACTTGTTTCCCCTCTCATCGTTCTGCAACTTGTGCTTTCACGTTTGTGGTACGACAGGGTGGAGAAATGGGCTTATGTTCTCACGTCTGGCTGGGGAGTTAATTGTTGAAGGTTTTTTGATGATACCATGCTTCTTACTCATCGATAGCATTTTCATATGGACATCAAGTGCACGTTAATATGCCCATCTTTTGGGGTGTATATGTAGCAAATGAAGGGATTTTATCCAGCTCTAGAAACGTCTCGGGTCGTAACTGCCTCGTTTGTTTTTATTATGACATCATGTTAGGTTGAACGTGAGATTAATGGGTGTATTGGGTAATAGTAGGGTGTTCAATCAACATGAAACCACAAGGTGCGCACCGGGAGTTGTTCACTCGCCAACCCCTGTAGATTCATGAAGTAAAGTAATGTACGCGAAACTGTCGCGAAACGTGTCTTCCTCAGAATCCTAATCAAAAGAACGCCAAAATTCGACAAACTTTTGCAATTTATCAGAGACAATTCAAATATGGCGGACTCCAAGATGGATATAGATGTTGCTCTCGAAACTCCCGCATCTGGTGTATTCATAGCCCCCTCGATCAACCAATCTTTACTACTATCTGGTGCTTCATATCAACATTATTCAGATGTTCCTCCGTCACTTCTTCCTATACCCAATACCGATGCTTCGAAACCCGATGCGCCTCCAGCTCCTGGTCCACCATGTGCTTTAGGAATTGATGAAGCTGGGCGCGGTCCTGTTCTTGGGCCCATGGTATACGGACTATTCTATTTACCACTACCTCTCTCCGATTCTTTGCTACGAAATACACATCACTTCGATGACAGTAAAGTCCTTACACCGACTGTTCGATCCGAGCTTATGGAGAAACTCTGCACGCCAGGCTCAGATCTATATACACAATGTGGATGGGCGGTGGACGTTATGTCGGCGAGAGATATTGGTGCCAACATGATGAAACCGGCAACATACAATTTGAATGCCCAAGCTATGGATTCCACTATTGCACTGATTCAAGGAGTGATGGATAAAGGTGTCAATGTGAAGGAAATTTATATCGATGCGTTGGGAAATACAGTTACATATCAGAAGAAATTGGAACGGATCTTCCCTACAGCTCAAATCACAGTTGCGAAAAAGGCAGATAGTTTGTATCCATGTGTGAGTGCGGCAAGTGTATGTGCAAAGGTTACTAGAGATGCTGCTCTAGAGTCACTGTATGAAAGCTACGTGAGTAAAGACGGGGGTCAGAAGATGGGCGGAACGGAACAGGACAGTTGGGGCTCGGGATATCCATCTGATGCTAGAGCAACTGCATGGTTAAAACGCAACATAGATCCTATATTTGGATGGGGCAGTGAATGTCGTTTTAGTTGGGGGACGACAAAAGACATGTTAGATCTCAAAGGGATTGCAGCTAAAGTTGATTGGCCAATTGAGGAGGATGACGAGACGAGTAGGTTAACGGATTTCTTCAGTGCGGATAAGGATAAGGATACGGATGAGCTTGGGTCATGGTTTGGAAGCACAGTGGGAACGGAAATCTTTTAGGATAGGTCTTCGCGCGTTGAGACTTGCTCGGCGTTTTGGTGGGAGGCAAACGTGGAACGTTGCCATACCTTGGTGTAAATACATTGGATTGGTGTTTGGGTCGCTTTGTAAAGTCGAGATGGAATTGTCTTAAGTTGTTGTGTGCTGTCCCACGGGTACTGTATACTTTGCCACAGATGGCAAATCAAAAAAGATTCAAAAAACTTAGATGACATGAAATTTAACACCTTCTAATCTTTCGATTCAAAAGCAACATCTGAAAACATCATCAATTGATACAATTGGCATGTTTCAAAGTCTGCGAGCTGTGATTATTGATATTGATATTGATATTGATATTGATAGGTAGTTCTGTTTCCTTGGCGACAACCAATCAAAGATTTCAGGGTAAGTAAGAAGCTGGAGCCTGTAAACATTAGCGCAAAACTTCATTTCTATCAACAGCTTCAAAAAAAGTCGCGTCTCTATCGAAAAGTTATAAGCTTATTCTAAGCTTTAACTTTTTCCCTTTTCGAGAGCATTAAATTGCGCTCTTTCTTGATTTGTTATCACTCATCAAGAGTTATTTCTTTTTACTTTAATTTAATCCCAATTAGAACCTTGTAACGAATTGGACTTCGTCAATATGTCGCTCTTCGGAAATACGAATCAAAACAAGCCATCACTCTTTGGTGCACCGCAGACAACAGGAGCGGCTACAGGTGCGAGTACGGGAGGTCTTTTTGGTGGATTGGGAACGACTGTGACTAGTCAGGCGCCATCGTCGGGAGGAATGTTCGGTGGAATGGGAGCTACAAGTCAACCACAATCGTCTGGCGGTCTTTTTGGAGCAACTACAAGTCAAGCACAATCAACTGGCGGCCTTTTCGGAGCAGCTAAACCTCAACAACAATCAGGGACAGGATCCGGTGGTTTATTTGGGGGACTTGGAGCAACTCCAGCAGCAACACAACCACAACAAACGGGCGGTCTCTTTGGCACGACTACACAACCCCAAACTACGAGCAGCACAACCGGAGGTCTCTTTGGTAATTCTTTGGCACAACCTCAACAGCAGCCGCAGCAAAATGCTGGTGGGCTTTTCGGAAATACTACCACGCAACCCAACCCTTCAGGATCAATGTTCGGACCTACTCCACAAACTCAACCTCTCTCGCAATCTCGACAACAAAATGGAACAAGCGGTGCCTATTTTGATGCTATATTGGAGAAGAGTCGTAAGAGGGCGCACGATGAGGATTCTTTGGGCTTACAATTAGGTTTGGGAGATATTCGCCAGCGCATGAAGAGGCTGGCTCCTAGTACCCAAGATGGCTCTGTTGATGGAAGAGCTCATTATCTATTGGCAGCTTCTGGCGTGGATCCAGGCGCTGCGCTCAGGGATTTGAATTTATTCACCGCTGCCACGGGAAGACTCGATAGGACAGCGCCTGTAGAAGCACCCGTCGATGCAGATGTCGAAGCTTACCTTACACGCCTGGAAACGCAAACCACAATGAGCATGATATCTGAAGGGTTGGCAAGATCTGTTCGAGATTTCGATGATTTCCTGGAAGAGAATGTTGCCATGGAATGGAGTGCACAACGCAAAAGAATATACGAACATTTTGGAATTAAGCCGAGAAGAGAACAGACAACGGGCCCATCAGTGAGCTTTGCAGCTACGGCTACAGAATCTATGGGCGGTTTTGGTCGATCAAGACGCGGCAAAGGACTTGCTCCTGGAGCGTCCAAAGGACCTGGAATTCCGCGGGCTAGCGTTTTTGGAAAATCAAGCATGCAGAGATCTGTTATAGGAGCTATTACTCCAGGCGGAACCGCAAACCGCACACTATTTACCGATATAGAAAAAGCAGATACGAATGGGTCGGCACCAGTTCCAAGTGATCGATTCATTCGCGAGAAGCAGGCTCGATATATCGAGAAAGTCCAGAACCTCAATGGTGCTAGACTAAAGAACCTTCACTACCCAATTGCGAACGAATTCTCAACTGTTGTGGCCCAAGGTGGTGAACAGCATTCTGCAGATGTTTACAGGGCATACAGATGCTTGATGGAAATCGTTGGCGAAGATCCGGACCCGGACAGACTACAATTCCCTGGCGCGGTCAAACAGAGACAGTTTGCAGCTGCATACCTGGATGACAATACAAACTCAGCTCAAGCGGCCGATTTGAAAAAACGGATACTCAGTGGATCACTTCGATATCTTGAAAAGGAATTTTTTGAGAACGTAGAAACTATTGTTGCCAAAAACCCCAGGGAAGCACTTGTGGGTGGTAAGCCTAGTCCTCTCACAAAAATCCAGGGTTATGTTCGCCTGCGCTTAGCCCGTAAAGACCTTGCTACAGACATCTCCGCTCTACAAATTGTCAATGATGATTATGTCTGGGCAGTAGTCTTTTATCTTCTAAGATCTGGCCACGTTGAGGAAGCCAATGCTTATGTCCAGGGTAATCGGGAAGCATTCAGGGTAATTGACCGAAGCTTCATGTTTTATATCGCAGAATATGCCAACAGTCCAGACAGAAAATTGACTCATGAATTTCAAAGTCGTATTCAAAGCGAATACAGCCAGCGAAATCGAATCTCCCCTGAGGGTTCTATTGATCCTTTCAGAATGGCATGCTACAAGATAATTGGTCGCTGCGAACTTCACGTTCGCGCCCTGGATCAAAATATTGTCCAGAACCAGGATGACTTTGTCTGGATACAATTTGTCCTTGCGCGCGAAGCAAACCGAGTCGATGAAATTGCCAGCGATGCATATGGACTTGCCAATGTACAAAAGACATTCAAAGACATTGGTGCCCGCATGTTTTCGAAGGGAAATGAAAATAGTGGACCATTTAGTGTGTATTTTGTGCTGTTGGTACTTTCAGGCTTATTCGAAGATGCGATCGACCTTCTTTATCGCCACAGTATTTCCGATTGTGTTCATTTCGCTACGGCACTTGACTTTTACGGCCTGCTTCGAGTCTCAGATCCAGATGTTGCAGAGGGTGGATTCTTAAGCTACACAATAAGACAACAACCTCAGATAGCATATGGGTTAATGATGGGATTTTACACTGCAGAATTCAGAGCTGCCAATGTCAGTGCTGCCGTGGATTATCTCACCTTGATCTGTCTCAACAGTGACCTTAAAGGCGAAGCTGGTTCAAAACAAGTCGCATTATGCCACGAAGCTCTTCAAGAGCTGATTTTGGAAAGCAGAGAATTTGCTTTGTTGCTTGGAGATGTCAGACAAGATGGAAAGCGTCTAAAGGGGGTTATCGAAGAACGCCTGGAACTCATCAATCTCAGCAGCGCGGATGATTTCATGAGAACAGTCACGATACAAGCAGGAAGTGTCGCGGACGACAACGGGCGAACCACCGATGCAGTCCTGCTTTATCATTTAGCGGAAGAGTATGA